CCCACGCTACCCAGCCAAGGATGCTTCTTTTAGTGCAAAAACCTTCCCTTGACTTTTAATAATAGTGGTCTCCTTTTGTGATGGACTGATTGCACTCTGCCTAATGAGCGTCCTCCAGGGGCATCCGGAGTCTGAGGCGTCTCCCAGATGCCTCGTTCTTCGACAGCGCTGTTAGTGTTTCATTATGGTTCTTTGTCTCGTAGGGTTTCAAGCAGCCGAATCCACTTGACGGCACACAACAGCATGGTTTATTGACCTTTTTCTCTCTTTTCTTTTTACGATTTGTGTGTGCCTTTCACTTAACAATAGGACTACTGATACACTCCTACCATTGAGAAGCACAAAGTTTAGACCCTGTTTGAGGAAGCACAGGACTTCTGGGGGTGTAGTGGGGTCATGCATTGGGCTGCTAACCACAAGGTCTGTAGTTCAAACCCATCAGTCACTCCACAGAAGAAAGGTGAGGCTTTCTCTGTCACTAAAGATTTACAGCCTCAGAAATCCATGAAGGCAGTTCTACTCTGTCGTATACAGTCACTATGAGTCCTAATTGACTCAATGGCAATGGAATTTTTAATGAGAAAACACATTGCCCTTTATCTGACACTGGGGAAACTCAATGGTCTATCTATCTATCTATCTATCTATCTAACTAGCTAGCTAGCTAGCTAGCTAGCTATCTATCTATCAATCATTAGGGCCCTGGTGGTATAGTGGGTATGCATTGGGCTGCAATCCACATGGTCACCAGTTCGAAGCCACCAGCAGCTCTGAGTAAGAAAGACTGTGCTTTCTACTCTCCTCAACCATAAGAGTCTCAGAAACTCACAGGGGTCACTATGAGTCAGCATCAACTCAATAGCAGTGAGATTGGTTTTTAGCTCTATCTATTATGTAATTAGGCTGAAAGTCCAGCCCTGGGAATTTCATGGTAAAGGACCTATGGCAGAAGATGAGTCTGAACCAGGGAGATCCCTGCCCTTTTGTGACTTATACCAACAACAAGAAGGGGAAGAGAGAATTTTTCTGTAAACAATACCACTGACAACCCTGGCCCAACCCCAGAGGTGCCCACTGGCTGCACTCGCTAGTTCTGCATTTGTTTCTTCCTAGTGGCAAGATGGGGTACCTGGGGACTCCGTTCTAGTTAGTCCTTGCATGGATGGGCTCAACCACTCTATGAAGTCACCCAACATGTGGGGACCAGAGCAGGAAATGTTTGGTGTTGGACTCTTAGAGTCTTAGAGTTTCAGAGTTGAATAAAAGTGGCTAGCCTCACATCTTGGTGGTGAGTCAGAGAGTTCTGCTGAGAAAGGCATTTGTGAAGAGGCGATTTAAGAGGCTGAGCTTTTAAGCCGCCACACCCAGAGTGTTTCCAGATGGACCATGCTCTTGCTCGCTGGCTTTGAGCTGACTGTCTAAATTCTCAGGGTCTGCCAACCTTCCCTTAGCAATGGGGCAGCGACCCCTCTGTGTCAGCCTGGATTAACCAGAGAAACAAATTCATGGAGACTCATATGTGTAAGAGAGAACTTTATGTCAAAAAGCAATTATACCAGAAAGCTGATGGTGCCCGGCTATCAAAAGATATAGCGTCTGGGGTCTTAAAGGCTTGAAGGTAAACAAGTGGCCATCTAACTCAGAAGCAACAAAGCCCACATGGAAGAAGCA